TGGCAAACTTGCCAATATCAAAAATTCAAACAAAAAAAAATGTTCTGGTAGATTAGAACCAGCACTACCCTAAGTCTATAGCAAGCTTTGAACCCATTTCCAAGAAAATCAGACTATGAAACATGTTATGAGGGAAATGACTGTTGATTAATATCCTGAAAGCGCTTATGTACCTCCCCAAATAAATCAACTGTTGCTTCCTTCCTACGACAGTATTAGGCAAATGAATGAGTTAGTTTTATGTTCACATTTATAAACAATATGAAGGACATCTACTTGACAGGGAAAGACAAGGCAAGTGCCTTCTATGATTCAATGTAACAACAGTCAGCCAGAAAAAGTTGACAGTAGTGTTCAATACAAATCACACCCACTTCAGAGTCCAAGACAGTCAAGCAAAAAAAATTCCCTTCTTCCCAAAGACCTGACAAGTACTGTGGAGGTATAAGACCTACCTGTCTCCCTGACTTGTCTTCAATGTCCTTTCTGCAACTTCCCTTTAAAAGTGCTCATAACCAGGATCAGGAAGAGGAGGTAGGACCTCTTTGGTCTTTAGCGAAGAATGATCTACTGTTTTTCCCCCACACCATCATTGAACTTCTGGAGGTAGAGAACCCAACACTGTCTCTAAAGACTTTGTAAGTGCCCCAGACTATCGACAAGGGCCAGGTCTCAGTGAAGTCTCGGTGGAATACAAACAGGGTGTACCAGTGGCTGTTTATTAGAAGTCCCTATCAGTAGTGATGACGACAGCTGATTGACTTCTCTGCTCAGGTGATGAGATGGGCCCCACTGAATACTAAGGGTGATCTTTCTGTATATACCTCAGCTCAACTTTCGCACTTGCTGGACTTTGTCAGGTTCTCCTTGCTAAATTTTCTTCTTCATGTGGCCTCCTCAAGCCAGGTTATCCTGTTTAGCACAGGTCATACTCCATTTCCTAGGTCTGATGAAATTGCCCTCTTCCTGTTGACCCAAAACAGAGAGGAAAGGTGGGGAGTGGGGTGGGCAAGATCCTCTGTTTCTTCCCTATAGGCCTTGGATTTTTCAAGAGTCTGTTTTTTTAATATAAATTTTATCAAAATTACCACCACCTGGATCAGGCAACAGAACACAAAATGTCCTGTTGAGTGCCCCTTCAAGTCAGTCATCCAAGGAGTGACAAATACCTGACTTCTGATACCCCTGACTTCTGATACCCTGTAGCTCTGGGAGGAAGAGGTTCCCAGCCCAGGGCAAGGCCTCTATGAGACCTGTGAAACCAATGTAAGTCAAAGGAAAGGGTAGGTTGCAAGGAAGCCTTTTATTTCATAGTCACTAGTCAGGCTCGATACCACCTATCTCCTCCAGCCTTGGCTTGCACACTCTGCTTCCCCCAGCTGCCCCTTCCAGCAGGAAGTCTATGGGCGGGTCCTTGGTGGCTGGCAAACCCCAGACCGATTACATACCAGGAATGGAGCAGAGGAGAGAATGGCCATTTTCTCTCCACCCTTACCTCAGATCGTCAGGAGGCTGTGCCATGGTAAATACCTACTGATATGTAAATAAACTAAGGCTAGGCGGGAGATTCTGGAAAGCCTGCCATTTACCCCATACACCCTGTATTAGTTTTGCATGCTTTTCAACTATATGTAAGTGAAATCACATGGTGTGTATTCTTTTGTAAATAATTTCTTTCACTCAGTATTCTTTTTATGAGAGTCATCATACATGAAAACTACATATATGGCATTGCATGCAGTCGTAGTTCAAGAAACTACCTTTGAAATTTAAAAAAATCATTGACTAGTCTTTCTTTTCTTATTGAGATATACTTGACGTATAATATTATGTTAGTTTCAGGTATACAACATAATGATTTGATATTTATGTATTGTGAAATGATCACCACAATAATTTTAGTTAACATCCATCACCACACATAGTTACAAATTTTTCTTGTGAAAAGAACTTTTGAGATCTCTTAGCAACTTTTAAACACAAAATACAGTACTACTAACTATAGTCACCATGCTGTACATTACATCCTTATGATTTAATTTACTTTATAATTGAAAGTTTGTATCTTTTAATCACATTCTCCCACTTTGCCCACTCTCCAACCCCTACCTCTGGCAACCACCAATCTGTTCTTTGTATCTGTGAGTTTAGGGTTTTTGCTTTTTAGACTGCACATATGAGATCATGCACTATTTGTCTGACTTATTTCACTTAGTATAATGCCCTCAGGGTCCATCTGTATTGTCACAAATGGCAGGATTTTCTTCTTTTTATGGCTATATAGTACCTCTATGTGTATATATACTACATTTTCTTTATCCATTTATCCATCAATGGACACTTAGGTTACTTCCATTACTTGACTATTGCAAATGAAGCTGCAATGAACATGGAGGTACATATAACTTTTCAAGTTAGTGTTTCTGTTTTCTTTGGAAAAATAACTAAAAGTGGAATTTCTGGATCATATGGTAGTTCTTTATTTCACTGAACCATAGTTGACATACAATATTATATTAGTTTCAGGCATACAACATAGTGATTCTAAAATTACATGTATTATGAAATGTTCACCATGATAAGTATGGTTATCATCTGTCACTCTACAAAGTTACTACAATATTATTGACTATATTCCCCATGCTGTACATTTCATTCCCATGATTTATTTATTTTATAATTGGAAGTTTGTACCTCTTTATCTCCTTCACCTATTTTGCCCATCTCCCCACACTACTGGCAACCACCAGTTCTGTTTTCTGTGTTCAAATCTATTTCTGAATTTTGTTTCTTTATTCTTTTGTTTTTTTAAGTCACATATAAGTTGAAATCAAGTGGTATGTCCTTTCTGTCTGACTTATTTCACTTAGCATAATTCCCTCTAGATCTGTCCAAGGTGTCACAAATGTCAAAATTTCATTCTTTTGTCTTGGTAATATTCCATTGTATATATTTACATCACGTCTTTATCCATTCATCAATTGATGGATACTTAGTTTGCTTTCATATCTTGGCTATTGTGAATAATGCTACAGTAAACACAAAGGTGTATGTATCTTTTTGAATTAGTGTTTTTGTTTTCTTTAGGTAAATACCCAGAAGTGGAGTTACTGGGTTGTATGGCATTTCTATTTTTAATTTTTTGAGGAAACCTCCATACTGTTTTCCTTAGTGGCTGCCCCAGTTTGCATGCCCATCAACAGTGTATAAGGGCTCCCTTTTCTCAACAGCCTTGCCCTCATTTTGTATGTTGCCTTTTTATTTTGTTGACAGTTTCCTTTGCCATGCAGAAGCTTTTTAGCTTTTTAGTTTGACGTAGTCTCATTTGTTTATTTTTGCTTTTGTTGTCTTTACAAGTTTCAGATCCAAAAAACTGTCATCATGGAGCTTGCTATCTGTGTTTTCCTCTAGGAGTTTAATAGTTTCAGGTCTACTATTCAATTTTGGGTTAATTTTTGTGTATGGTATAAGAGATTGGTCAAGTTTCATTCATTAACATGTGGCCATCCAGTTTTTCCAACACCATATATTGAAGAGGCTGGACTCTTTCCATTATATATTCTTGGTTCCTGTGTCATAAATTAATTGGCCATACATGCATGGGTTTATTTGGGGGCTCTATTCTGTTCCATTGATCGTTGTGCCCTTTCTAATGCCAATACCATACTGTTTTGATTACTGTAGCTTTGTAACTAAGAAGCATAACTATTTGTATTTGCGTTTTCTTATACTGATCTAAAAATCTCCTTGTAGCAATATGGATACTTGTGATAAACAGTCTGTCAAAATCTGTGGAATACAGCAAAAGCTACAATAGAAAAGAACAAACCATTAACACATGTAATGACATAGATGAATCTCAGGAGCATTCAGCTAACTGAAGGAAGCCAGACATAAAAGTCTATGTGCTGTGTAATTCCATTTATATAAAATTCTACAAGAGAAAGACCATAGTGATAGAAAGCAGGTCTGCCTTTTCCAGGATCAAAAGTGGTGGGAGAGTGGAGAGATTTACTGCAATGGGGCCTGAGGGAAATTTTTGAAGTGATGAAAATGTCTCATTTCTTGATAGTAGTGATAGTTACTAAATTTTTATTACATAAAAATTATACCTTAATAAATATGCTTGAAAATACTGTGAATAACAATATAAAAATATAAATGCTCTAGAAATAAGCCTAATAAAAGATAAGCCATTTATTAAATGAAGAAAATAAACGTTTCTGCAAGACATTAATGATAATCTAAACATGTAAGAACTGTAGTTTGTTCATGGATTAGAAGACCCAATACTTAAAAAATGTCAGTTCTATTCAAAGTGGTCTATAAATTTAATACTATTTTAATCCAAATCTCAATATTTCTCTGTGGAGCCTAACAAAATGAAATGACTTTAAAGTTTATATGGTAGCACAGATACTAGAATAGTCAGGACATATTTGGAAAAAAAATCGATGATACTTGCCCTATCAGATAATAATTAACATAATGTAGTATTTGCATAAGATTAGATAAGTATCTTAGAAGAAAAATCAAGAGAGCCCAGAAACAGATCCACAGGGACATTTAGTATATGATAAATGTGTCACGACAGAGCTGAGGGAGGAAATTATGGGCTTTTCAATAAATAGTATAGATGTTTATGGTGTAGGAACAATTGTTTTATCATCTTAAAAAGATGAAGTTGGATGCCTACTTGTGCTATATACAAAACTCAATCCCTATTGGAAAAAAAGAAAAACTTCAAGGTAAAACCAAGAAACTCTTTTGGAATAGCATGGTGGAATTTTATACCACAGGATAAAAAGGATTTCTTAATTATGATACAAAATACAAGCCATAAATGAAAGATTGATAAATTTGACTACATTAAAAATTAAATTATATTCATTGAAAGATATCAAAAAAGTGAAAAGACAGGTCATAAACAGGGGGTAATGACATAATATGAGTCACAAACTGGTTCATGATGTTTGCAAAACAAAAAACCAACAAAGGGCTAATATCCAGAATATTTATTATATATTTAAAAATCTCCCAAGAATCAATAAGAAGACAGCCAGCCACCAGAAAAACAGCAAAAGAAATGTATAGATACTTAATAAAAGAGCCTGCTCAAATGATCCTAGAATGAAAGGTCCTTAACAATATGAAAAGATGTTCAACCTACTTGTTATCAGGGAAATGCAAATTCAAACCATTATAAGACATCATTTTATACCCTAAGAAAGGCAAATTTTTGAAAGCCAGACAATGCCAAATTTTGATTAGTGTTCAGTAGTGGAAACTCTTATTCACTGTCATGGAAGTATAAATTATTTCTGCCACTTCAGAAAATAGTTTGGCTTTCTCTATAAACTTGAAAATGTACATTTCCTAGAACCCAGAAATTTCATTAGTATGTATAGACTCCAGAGAAATTGTTGCACCCTAAGTTAATTCTTACACATTAGCCAAGAACATGTAAAATAATGTTTATAGAAGCTTTGTTCATGATAGAAAAAAATGGAAATATCCCAAATATACATCAACAGTAAAACAGATAAATAAGTTGTGGACAAATCTTACAATGGAATACTGTAGAGCATTAAAAATGAATGACAACATGATGAATTTTGCAAAACATCCTTTTGAGTGAAAGCATAAAGGCATAGCAGACATACCATTTGATTATATTTATGTGAAATTCCAAACCTCCAAAATGAAATAAAGTTCATGTGGGGCTACTTATACAGGTATAAAATCTCCAAAGAAAGCAAAGGAATGATTAATACATAATTCAAAATATTGGTTACTACTAAGTGAGGCCATTGCAATCAGTGAGTGACACCTAAGAGGCTCTTGAGAATAGAAATGCTCTGTCTCTTAGACTTTACAGGATAAATACAGGTGTTCATTTGCTGCCCTTTAATACATGCATCTGCAATAACTATTTTTGTGTATACTATACTTTAATTTTTCTTATTTTTTTTAAAATTGCAGATGAATTGGTGTGGTTCCAAGGATACAAAACCAGATATTTCAATTCAATAGATTGGATGGCCCCAAGAAATCTGAATTTTTATCACATTCCCATGGTGATTCTAATGAAAGATGTTTAAGGGCCACACTCGGAGTATCTGCTTATTATTTCTGTGGACTTGAAGTTCACTCTTGGAACTTGTCATTTCAACAAGAGCTACACGATGAAAGGAAGCAGTTTGCAACAAATAAACAGAGAATAAACTTCTCATTCCAGAAGGTATTACTTTACGCTACAAAAAAAACTAAACATTTACAAAAGAAAATTTTAAAAAGTTGAATTTATAAACCACACTGATAAAGTTACACAAGAGTCTGACAAACAAACATCATCATGAAATGTCTCCGTACCATGTCAGTACCATTCAGAGAAATCAAGTCAACCATTATACCACAGGTTGAAGGGCTTAGTACCTGAAAATCAACCCAGTGCTCTCTTGGTTTATCATTTGTTTATCAAAATATAAAAACCCAGCACTTTTGCAAAACATGAAGTTGTTGTCAATTAACTTTATAGGAAAAAATTTTTGTTAAAGGAAATAAAATATAAAAAGATAACATAGGTCAGCTGCCAGTCAAAATTAATGCTACATTTTTCAAAGATACATTAAGTTATGACAATTAGTCCAAGAAACACTGTTCAATTATTTTAGAGATCTGACTGTACAGTGCTGCTATTCTAAGCAATTTTGTGAAGGCATAATTTATATTACATATGTACAGATCACATTATTGTATATACACATCAAGGAACTGCTCCACTCATCACATCACAGTGGTAGTATCTTATTTAGGCAGAAAGATTTCCTTTGGCTTCTTGCTTACAGCAAGGGGCACAGGCAGCCATTTCTTTCCAGGAGTTCATTGCGTTCAGGGAAGTCTGGACTCTGAGCTCTTTGCTTTCCTCATGGAATGATGAGCAGTATTAAGGATTCGGACTGATAAATAATGTCTCTGGTTCAACATTTCACACATTAGGTACAATTGATCTCTGTGCTTCTACGAGACTGTATGACCCTTTCATGTTAGCTTTTCTAGCAAAGTAAATGATCATTCCAATGGCAGGTATTGTTAAGGAGGATGCACAATACAGCACGAGAAGTTCAGGAGAAAAATAGTCCTTGTTATTCTCTCTTCCTGGAAAATGACAAAATGGATGCAATTAATGTCTAGCACAAAAATTAATTGTTTAATAATACTGTTACATGTTTTATTTTAATAGTACAACTAGTTCTCTAAAATGAAGTGAATCAAAATAGGGATAAGGACCAACAGGACCCAAAATGCAGATTTCCCTGAATTATCCAAATAATCAGTTGTTTGCTATGGTTCTGGTGGGTCTAAAGATGACAGCCATTGACTTCCACAAACTTAATTCAAACAGATTCATGTTCAGTTGTAGAATGGAAGGAAGTGTGCAACTTTTAGGGCTCAATTATAAGAGCAGGAACTGGAGATGAGTGTTTGCTTTGGGAAATATAAATACCTACTAAAGAATTAGAACTCTGATCGCTGTGAATTGAAATGACCAACCAGTTCTCTAAGAAAATCCTTGTAACACCTATAGTGTAACCAATACAGTCAACTGCCATATATAAAGTAGTAAGAGAAAGAATTCTTGGCAGTGGCCTTTTCAGAGATATATAAAAAAATTTTTATTTTGTATCTTTGAAGTAAGGCATCTTAATATATGCTATTCCTCGCCAGCATTTATATTATCTCTTGATAAACTGAAGTTCTTTGGATAGTATCATATTTTAGCTTAAATGTGACTGACAGCAAGAAGCATTCTCTGATGCACATCTTCCCCAGCCTAAATTAAAAGCCCTAATATACTTTCAATAACCCACTACTTTCCCTTCATAGCTCTTATCACAGCTTGTAATTAAGCATTTGTTTATATGATTACCTACTAAATTTCTTTTCCTCCTCAGACTGTAAATTACATAAGGACATTTCATTTTGGTCTACCACTTAATAGCCAGTACCTGACTTACTGCTTAGAGCACTTGGCATCCAATTAACATTTTTTGAATAGTAATATATTCTGTCTTTCTTCATCCTGTCATGTTGTCATTTAGTTTTAAATTGGGTAGAGAAGGTAATAATATACAGAAATTAAAATTAAGATAAGCATCCTTTCTGATCTAATAAAAATCATCTGACAGCTGCTATACTATTTAACATTTTAACCTTATCAGAAGATGCATTTCTATTTGTGCTGGAGACTCATCTCTATACTTATATTTGTATCTCATTGAATGACCTCACAAGTATTAGGTTTCTATAAGTGGTGTATATATTGTTTAGCCTAGGAAGAAACAGCTGATCTGACTTTGGTGGTCACTAAGGCTCTAGAGGCTTCTAATCACCGGAGGTAAACCAAGTAGAAAAGAATCACTAGGGTCAAGTAATGGTTAAGTCAGTTTTTTCAAACTATTGAAGTTAAAAACACCTCACCTTAAGCATAATGATATGACCTCACTTTCCTACTTTCCTTGCTAGAGTAGAACTAGTATAGAGGTATTAAGGGTATAAGTCAAAGTATAAGGGTAATATTTTAATGGGAAGTCCATTATCATAATTATGATTAGGCATAAATATTGACATTTTGGGCAATGGTATTTCTTCTCCTATTGTTTTCTTTTCAATTTAATAACTGTTATCTTTTTCCTCTGGTTTTACCCTCAGGCATTTGGAGTAAAATACAAATTTACTGCTGAGTCGGTTACCAGGGCAACCTTCAAATGTAATTTTCTATTAGCTGTATAAACCCTGAAAATCCTAAACATGTCCAACTGTTCCTGTCATTGGAATACATCCAAGCCAAAACCAAACCGAACAAAATTAATTATAAAATGCAGCTAAATAAAAAGGAAGACTAGTTCAAAATACCTAGGAGAAATGTAAACTTTTTCTCTCCATTCATTTGTAGTTATTTTAAACCGTATTTAGTTTGGAGGCCTGAATTTCTAGCTGAGTGCCTAATTTAATTTGTTCATTTGTTTATGAGTGAAAAATGGCAAATATGTAAGTTGCTTATTTAATAAAGGAATTAGAAAAGACAACAATGTGTGAGAAAGAGTTAAAAAGTGGGGAAGCTTTGATATGTATGTCTTTAAAAGAGTATCATGAACTACAAACTGAATTACAAGAATGCTGGTAGTCTATTCCCTGGGCCTGGGCTTAATTACAGGTATCCTGGAGGTATCAAGGATTAAAGGAAATAGGAATGAATGAATTTCAACCTATTTACAATGAGATCTCAATCTGTCCAGAATCATCATCCTTAACCTTATTGGAAGCACTGACTATGTACACCCCTGTGTCATTTTGACTGACATGATGCAAGGTGAATGTTCCATTCTTTGAACATGTAGTCATTTCATTGGCCACATCAACTCTTTTTGGGATACCCATTGCAGGTGGATGACTAAATGTTTGACAGATAATTGTAATATTTTCCCCTTCTTTAACATTTCTACATGAATGTATTGATATTGCCATGTTTCAAGGAGGTACTGTGAAGATAGAAAACATGGTAAGGCTTGCAATCTTGAGAAATTTGGCCAGGTGAGTAAAATTTTAACCCATTTTCTGACCATTTCTGACTTCTGGCCTTCAAATTTTCTTTACATTGACAAGCAGTTGCTGATAGGCCAAGTGCCAGAGGCTCTTAAAAGTTGCATTTGTCTGCAGTCCTGTTCACTCCCAAGTATATACACTGTGGGAGCTCATTAGCACACAAGGTGCAGAAGACTGATTTGAAAAAGCTGACATATTCTGCTTACATCAGTGAAATCAAATGATACTACTGTGCGTTCAGCAGGAGGGATTATGAAGTTAAGAAGCTCCTGAGTAGCTCTGCTGAGACCATTGCCCCCTCTCTCTCTCTCTCCCAGAACAGGGTAGAATGGAGGACTAGAGGTTTGGGTTTTAAAGGAGGCAATTCTGTAGTCTAGAGGTTTTTGTATGTTGTTCAGCATCCAGAGAACCAGCCACTCTGGTTATTATCCTGAAAAGAATCAATCCAGAAAATACACAGGTATTCCATGTTCAGAGAATAGCGCTGTCTTCTGGTAGGAGGAAAAACTCTGACGAGAAGCCTTCTTTTTCCATGTGCCAGCTCTATTTCTTTAGTTTCCTTATATCCCTCCAGGGAAAGGTTTTGGAAATATGTTTAAATATTGGAAAATGCAAGACCAATGATGAATTTTCAAGTTTGAAAAAAGCAAATGGAAATTCTACATTCACCCATAATATCAACTTCTTGGGTAACTTCTGTAGGATAAGGCAACTGGGCATGATTATTTTAAGAATCATTAAGAAATGACCACAATTAACATGGAATTCAGATCCTTTTTGCCAGCTCATTCATCTAAACCTAGAAATTCTTTACAAACCTCTCATCTATAAAAAATAATGAAAAACAAAACAAAAACTAACCTTTAACATCAAGTGTTAAACTTCTTAATTGCAAGCCAACCTCATTTTTAGATTCACATTCATACACGCCTGCATCCTCCAGCTGGGCCTTGTGGATGGTATACGCGCCATCTCTGGACTTCAGCACCATGTCTCCTGTCTCTGCTTTTTTCTTTAGTATTATCCAAGTTTGGGGAACATTTCCACATGTACAGGAGATAATGACAGTGTCTCCTTCTTTGACACTCTCAGAAGGAAAAACTGTAAGTTGTATGTCTTTTGGAGCAACTGTAAAGAGAATTTAAAAGGTACTTCTGATTGGGTTAAATACAGACCAATTCCATATTAATTTAATGACAGCAATAATAGCTGTCAAGGAACTATTTGTGCTTCCTGTTTGCATTAAGTGCTTAGAGGGGCAAGTAAAGAAGTCAGAATTGACTGGCTTCTTGTAAATGATCACATTTTCAATAAGAGAAGACAATTGTATTACTTTTCTCATATATTAAAATAATTCTTTACCCGATCTAGCCAAAGAATAGGTGTTTAATAAATAGCTATAGAATTCAACTGTGGAAAATAACTTTTTTTTTTAGTCACGTTGCTGTGCAAAATTTTCCTTGAAGTACAAAGGCCTTTCCAGGCTTCTGAGTTTTGAGCTGGATCCTCCCAGATCAAGAAATTAAGTTGTACAGAGACAGCTTTCTTGCTGCCCTAAACAACTACCATTTAGCAAGTGCCAGGCACTGTACTAAGTACTTGACATATAATATCTCTATTAAAACACAACTCATGGAAGGAGGTGCCATATCACTATTTTATAATAGAGATTCCCATTAAATTCATTAATTTTTGTGATTTGAGAATCTTTCCCCAACCAGAGCTAGAGTACCATGACATCTATCCTAAGGACTTTCTTTAAGGTTGTTCATTGCCCTCCAAGTTTCTTCCTTTAAAATATGAATAATCATTGAGATGAAGTAACAGGAAAGTCACTAATTCCTTAGGGCAAATATCAAGGGTAAGAAAGGAAATAATAGCTCCAGTGAAAAAAAGGACTTTAAACCCCAAAGGGAAGGTATGGGGGGAAATCCAAAATAGTAATCTCATGGGTTTTGCCAAAAACTGCCTATGAGTTCAGCCTAGGAATTGTTCTAGAAATTGTTTCATTTTCAGTCTTGGATTTTCATACAGGAAAGGGGGTGTAGATCTGATAAACTAATCAACTCTCATGGTTCTTATACCACCACACTGATGAATCAGAGGGCATGATCACTGCAACTCTAAGAATTTACAAAAGGTTTAAGTGCCTTATAGGCTTTTAAGCAAATACTAGCAGGCATCCTGTAATACTATCCTTCAGAGTCCAGTTTAGCCAGATATGGAAGTTTTAATCCTAAATAATTTCCAAATACATATTTGTCCTCTTCCTCTCCTTATGTCAACACCATAATCATTGCCTCATAAGTGTAACTGGAACTCCTGGCACAGATCCTGGAGCTAGCCTTTCACTGGAGGTTAAAAGAATTTAGAATAAATTACTTGGACTGGATGGATCATAAAAAAGTAATGTTCCAGGAGCTTTCCATGCATAGGAAACATCATGAGCTTTTCAAAACCCTCAATATCTTTTTTTAGTTAAAATTTTGTTTTCAAAGAGGACTTTGATCAAAACCAGTAACACAACCAAAATAATATTAACACTAAGAACTCATTAATCACACTTTGCTCACCTTGGATAATTAATTCCACTTCTTTTTTGCTTATTCCAGCCTGGTTAATTCCTTCACACACATAAATACCAGAATCATCCATTTTTGCAGAAATTAAGGTCAGAGTTGAATTCTGAGAAAGAGGCTGTAGATCTCCATTATTTAGCTTCCTACTCCACAGGATTTGAGGAGCTGGAAGGCCATGGCTGCTGCATGTCATATTCACAGAACTGCCTTCCTCCAGGATGGAGGAGGGGCTGACCAAGACGGCTGTATCCCTGGGAGCAACTGAAAAAGTAGGGACACTTGTTAGCATTACGACTTCTCCCTGAGATCCAGAGTTTTAATAATATTGCAAAACTGTTCTATGGATTCAATGGATTATAATTCAATTCATTATAAGTGTTCATAACTTTACCAAAGTTTCTGTCCCAGTTACTTTCTCAGATACAGAATGACAGAGAGCAAAATGGGACACATCATGTATATTTTCTAATGGAAATAAGTTCTATAGAAACTCTCTTGTTACCAAAAAATGGATGATCAACGAGTATGTATTGACATTCCTGGTGCATTAAACGTGACCACGAATTGTTTGAATCTCCTATAAAAAGATGGAGTCTATTTTTCTACCCCTTGAATCTAGGCTGGCCCTGTGACTCAGTTTGGCCAGTGTAACATGGAAGAAGTAGCACTGTAGGACTTCCATGCCCAAGCCTTTCAGAGGCTGCTTGCATTATCACCTCTTGTAACTCTCCACCCAGGTGACTAAACATAGGCCATCTTCCTTGAAGATGAGACAGCACGTGGAGAAAGGAAGACCTGGGCATCCCAGAGGAGGCCCCAGACATGTGAGTGAGGCCGTCCAGGACCAGCCATCCCCCACTGACCTGCCAACTGACTGAAAATGTATGAGTTCATCTGATACCATATTGAGCAAAGAACTGTCCATCTGACCTCTTCCCAAATTGCCAACTCATAGAATCATAAGGTAATAAATGATTATTATCTTAAGTGTTGGGGGTTGTTCATTAAGGCAATCATTATTTTGAAATTTCTTTTCAATTATTTTTTTTTCACAGAAGTTCTAACCATCAACCTCATGTTAAGTATTGCCTGGCAAATATGATAAAGAAATCCATGTCGCACTGTGGATAGATCACACACCTACTTACCATTAACATAAAGTGTCTGTGTACTTTGCCTTTGTTTGGGTTCAAGTTCCATTTCATCAATATGTAACTTAGCCCGACAAACAAGGACATTTCCAGTGTCTTCAGTGGTGGGGATGAAGGTCATTTCCAAACTCTTGGTCTCCAGGGATTTGCTATCCGCCTCATCCAAAAAGTTTTTGTTCTTCATAATACTCTCCCCCTTGAGTAATTCAATCTCCAGCAGGTCAAAAGGATACACATTAGGAACCTTGCAGCTTACAGTGACCGGGTTTTCACTCACTAGTGGACCACTCATTTCAATTTCTGGATCTTTTGGGAATGCTGCAAATATCAAGCAAAAATGATGCACATATGAGACATTCAACAGAGGAATGGAACTAATCTCTATTACATGCAAAGGTCTCATAGTGACAGTTTTAAACTCACTTGAGATAGAATGATTATCACTATAAAAATGATGATATGAAGTATAAATATTTATGATGTTAAATATAAATAATACTGGAACAAAAAATACTTATTATATGAAGTAATCAAGTAGTAAATATACTTCTTATTTTTGTCTTCTTAGTGAGGCCATCTTGCAGACAACCAAGACTGATCTTTTCAAAGGACACATGAGCTTTCACCATCTTATTAAGTAACTATATATTTTAAATCTTTTCAATATTTGCCATGATGTATTGAATATTTAGTATGTACTAGTCCCTTAATACTTATTACCTCAGTCTTCCAAACATCCTGATAAAATGAGTATTATTTAACTTATTTTAAAGCTGGGAAAATTTACAAAAAGTATAGAGGCTCAGAGACTTTCACTAGGCATCATATCTAGTAAGTCGCTGAGTTGAGATCAGGACCTGCATTTCTCTGAGCTCAGAAACAGGCTTAGTTTCACAAAGCCATGCAGCCTCTTGGGATCAAGTAAGACCCACTGGGCAGGTCTCAGTTTAGGCATTTTAATTTCCAATGTCCAAGTTTAGGCAGCAGGTTTTAAATATTTCTTTTTTAATATCTGTAGTTAAGAAAAATCTATAAGAGATTTAGATTCTGAATAATATTTATAATGCATCTTATGCGAGCCAATAAACATGAAACTAACATAGTTACCAAGAATAATGCTAAAAAAATTTTTTTCCTTAAGCAAAATGTTTTTAAAGTGATACAGTCTCAAGTTTTCCATAGTGCAATAAGATTTCACTGCTGGTTCTCATTTCTGCTGGAAATGTGCCGACATCAGCAGATCTTGGATTCTGGGTAATATGTATGACACAGTAAAATTAACCCATCTTTTGAGAGATTCAAATCCCTTTATAGACATACTCTAACTCATTCTGAAAAAATTCTGAGGGGTAGGTAACACGAGTTTGGACAGGCTCTCTGGTTGAAATGCTCTACAATATGCTTCTCTTGAATTCTGCTGAAGAAAGCAAAGCAGCCTAATACTCTCAAATAACCTTGCAGGCACTTTGTAGATGTTGTCCCTCACTCATTATAAACTGAGGAACTCCAGCAATGTCAAACTCATAGAGATTTGAAGTTGTAAAGGATTTTAACAAAAGCAACAAGAACAGCAAGAAAAAGTGTAGTGCACGTGTTTAGTGTCAATCAGCATCAAGATCTAGTGCTAATTCCTGGCTCTGCTTTTTACCTGAGGGGCGGCTGCTAACCATCTCCTACGGCCAAGCTAACTGTCTTCATTTTTGGTTTTCCCCTGCTCTCTATTGCTTCATTTTTTTCCCCAGCCTGCCGGTCAGCTTTTTAAACGTGACTTCAAACAAGTAGGTCCAGGCTTCACCCTCAATTCGAATAGTTGAGCAGCAGTCACCCCATCCAGTTATCTGAATGGGCGCTGACCCCCAATCCTTATTTCCTACCAGCTCTATGTGTGTGTGAATTCCCCATACACACAGAGGGGATGGGCAGCAGTAAGCATGTAGTAGGTTCAAGTGCATGATGGGAGAGTATGGACAAGACATAAACTAAGAATTGTGGATACAGTGTATATATGTAATATATACTGAAGGTGTAGGCCATTTAAGTTGCTTCAAAAACTGGTTTAGAGATTTAGGAACCATTTACAGTGCTGAACTTCTTTTCTAAACACACAGATCTCATATATCACAGACTTGTATGTTTCTTCTAGTGGACTGAAAAAAAAAAACTCAAGCAATAAACAATTCTGAACACCACTTACAATAGAGGTCCACCATGATTGCTTTCTCCACTTTCTTACTTCCACAAGTCACGGAGCACAGGTAAGAGTTTTCATCCTCCAAACTCACAGGGCTTAGGGTCAGTGTGGACTTGGTCCTCTCATCGTTCCCCTGCCCGTCCAGAGAGCCTTCTATCTGGGTGCTCCAAGAGAAAGATGGGGACTCGCAGCCCGTGACTCCACATGTCAGTGTGACTGAGTCGCCAATATGAACAAAAATGTGGGGTGCAGGGAAGATCTCAACAGTAAATTGTTTCTCTGGGAGAAAAAAGAACAAGACAAAAAGAAAGTATAATTCTTTCCTTCTTTTAGTAAATTCCAGTACATGATATTTTTTTCTTTCAGCTAACATCTTGGCCAAAAGAAATTATTCCTTTTCACCTGGGAACCATGAGGAATGAAACCATATCTTTTAAGAGTGAATCCACAATAGTACATTGATTCAGTCATTTAAGAGAATGAATGGGGATAAAAATGTGTCAAGACACAGATTGGCATCTTTTCATAACAATAATTTGGTCTCTGCTCAAATGTAATTTATCAAATCCCTGTAACAGCAGACATGAGCTCAAATAATTTAAGAGGTTTCAGTATGTCCAGAATTGT